GCTGGTTGGTTGGATGGTTGGATGGATGGTTAGATGGTTGGATATTTGCTTTATTGCGTTAGTCGGTAGCTGGCATGATTTCTAAGTTGGTTTGTACTTGAGTGCTTTTAACTACAGACAAATAACACGCACATACATACAAACAATCAAACATACGTACAAACATACATACGCACATACGTATATGCAAACATACATACATACGTGAACACAGCAAATACATACGTACCTACATTTTTAAACAGAATTTTTGTACACATACAATTAAAAATGCACATTGTACAACACATATTTATACAATGATACATACACATACACACACATTCACACGAGATGACAAACCACATGTCAACAATAAACATATACTAAAACGTTATACAGATGTTAAATAAATTTCGCATCTAAAAAACCAAAACTTTTTTAAAGTATCTTATGAAAATCACTTTACAAATCCTATAAGACCAGACAAAAACAATCATTGACACAAAAAAAACAAATAAAAAACACACAGACACACAAACAAAGACACCCAAGCTAGCAAAGGCACACAATACAAACAAACAAACGAACGAATGATTAAGCAAACAGACATACAAACAAGCATACACAGAACAACACACAAATATCTGCAAGCAGACAAAGAGAACTACATTTGTAGAGCCTTTGTTTCTTGACGCATACATTGCTTGCAACATCACCAGGGAAAATTGTCTTGAACAGATTTAGAATTAAACCTTTAAAATTATTTTTTTTTAATTTTTTCAATTTTTTTTCTTATTTTTCTTTTTTTTTCACATTTTTTAGAGTTTTTTAAAAGATGCATTGATGACAATAATATGTGAAATAATGGCCAAAGTGATGGCTAAAAATTAGACACAGAAATGCAAATTGAAAATATTTTTCAATAATTAAGTAATATTACAATTATTTTTACTTATTAAGCTGTTAATTGATACAAATAAGGTTTACATTTTCAAATTAAAGCTAAATTGATTTGATAAAATTTATGAAAAATAAATAAATTTTTCTTTAAACAATCAAAAATATTACTAATATATACTATCGAGCAAAGAAAAAACAAAAGAACTGGCATATAAACCATCAAAAAACAAAAAACTTACAAACAAACAAAAAACTCACAAACAAACAAAAAACAAACAAACTAACATAGAAAAAACCAAAGAGCTTTCCTTTCACTCTGCAAGGGTATGAGAATCTGGAAATTATGCATGCATGTTCGTATGTGGTCCACTCCTTTCCAGTGTTGCTGTGTGTTGATTGGTTAGTTGATTGGCTGGTTAACTGGTTAGTTAGTTGATTGGTTGGTTGACTAATTAGTTGATTGGTTGATTTGTTGTT